AGGAATGCCAGGTACAAGAAATTTTTTATCACCTTCTTTCATTAAAAGGAAATTTTGAACCTTAACATTGTATGGTATGCTCTGCTAGTCATTTTGGTTATAAGTTTATCACATGGGTTCTTTGCTTGCATGTCACTCAGGAATTTTGGTTAGGGTACCCTTTTGCTAGGCATCTTGATTGATTCATGTGTTCTTTTGCTATTCCTTTCCGTTAACCTGTCCTTCCTCTTAGTTGTCTTGTGTAATAGTGGATGGCATCATCTGGTTTATGCTATCAAATTGACAAGACAGTACTCCTGTGGGGTAGGTTTTGATAGGATATAATCTACCTTTTCGTCTTTTCTGTGTCAAAGTTTGACTATCAGGGTTTCTGCATGTGGTCTGTTGGTACCAAATCTGCTAATATGATGATTAAAATCTTGAAGATGCTTCTCACTCTCTTCATGAAATTTACAAATGCCAAAGTACACTTTCAAGCTTGACCACAAATTAGGCTTTCAAAGTCTTGGTGTTTCTTTTAGAGTCAATCTGACTCAGCTCTGATCTTTACTTTTGTTGCAGATGATGATTCCTCTGATTTAGATAGCTTATTCAAGAGGACTATGCCTTGGCTTGGTGATGAGCTCTGCATGAAAGATCCCCAGGCTCTCCCTGGCCTCAGCTTAGTCCAGTGGATGAACATGCAGCAAAACCCTTCCCTGGCCAACTCAATGCAACCCAACTACATGCAATCCTTGTCAGGATCTGTTCTGCAGAATCTTCCTGGAGCTGATCTTTCCCGTCAGTTAGGCTTGTCATCACCTCAAATGCCTCAGCCAAGCAACGTACAGTTCAATGCCCAAAGGCTGCCTCAGCAAGCACAACAGCTTGATCAGCTTCCAAAGCTACAGTCCTCACTGATCCCACTGGGTTCCATCATGCAGCCACAGCAACAGATGGGTGACATCACTCAACAATCAAGGCATAATTTAATGGCACAAACTCTACCCTCAAGTCAAGTTCAAGCCCAACTTCTGCAGCCGCAAACTCTTGCCCAGACCAATAACATTCTTCAGCAACAGCCGTCTATACAAAGTCATCAGCTTCTTAGAAACCTTCCTCAAACCTTGCACCACCAGCAGCAGAATCAACAGCAAAGCCTAATGCAATCCCAGTTGTCTGATCATGTAAACCAACATGTTCAAATTTCAGACAATCAGATTCAGCTTCAACTTCTGCAGAAGCTTCAGCAGCAACAGCAATCACTTTTAGCACAGCAATCTGCAATGCAGCAGGCTGGTCAACTTGGACAGCTTCAAGATTCACAAAGACAGCTCCTGGATGCATCTCAGAGTTTTTCTAGGTCTATGGCACCCAGCCAAATGTTGGAAATCCCTCAAACTGCACCCACCTCTCTCCCTCAGCCAAATACTATTCCACAACAGTTGACTAAGAATACCAACCAAAACAATGCTCGATTCTCAAATCCGCCTCAGCAGCCAAAACTTCAACAACAGACTGGCATCCTGCCAGTGTCTGAAATGGCAGGTCATATGGGGCTTCCGCCGAGCTCAATGGCCAATCAGCTCTCCACAGCTGGTAGCAGTATATTGACGGCAGCTGCAGGACAGGGACAGTCTGGGATTACTGATGATCTTCCTTCTTGTTCCACTTCACCTTCCACAAACAATTGTCCGAACATGGTTCAACCAATGATCAACAGTCAGGCCCACCGAAGCACAGCAATGGGGGAGGACATGGCTCAGTCTGCTGCCACACTCTTGAATCCTAGTGCTTTGGAAACCGTGTCCTCTAATGGTAAATTAGTTAAAGATCTGCTGCAGAAATCTGAGGTTAAGCCGTCATTGAACATCTCCAAGAATCAAAGCCTAGGATTTTTTACCCCACAAACATACCTAAATGGTGTAGCTGCTCAGACAGATTATTTGGACACGTCATCATCTACAACATCAATTTGCCTTTCTCAAAATGATGTCCATTTGCAGCAGAATAACAATTCACTGTCTTATAATCCACAACCAATGTTGTTGAGAGACACAATCCACGATGGTGAACTCCAGGCAGATCTGAGGAATAATATTCCATGTGGGACGAACATTGATAGCCAACTTGCGATGCCAATGAGTTCTGACCATTTATTAACAAAGGGCATGGTGGGGCTGGGGAAGGACTTCTCAAATAATTTTTCTTCAGCAGGCATGCTTACAAGTTGTGAAGCCTCCAAAGATCCTCAACAGGATCTTTCATCCTCTATGGTTTCCCAGTCATTTGGAGTTCCAGATATGCCATTCAACCAAATTAACTCAGCAATCAATGACAATAGCTGCTTGAACAGAGGTGCTTGGGCTCCTCCACAGCAACAGTTTCAGCGAATGCGAACATATACTAAGGTTTGTTGTTTATCTATACAATGCTAATTCTTATATGCATGCATTCATGCACATGAGTGTGCGAACATATACTAAGGTTTGTTGTTTATCTATACAATGCTAATTCTTATATGCATGCATTCATGCACATGCCCACACTCGCAATATTTTCCTTCTTTATATTTTCATATCCTTTTCCTCCAATTTCTTCTGCTTGGCCTCGTAATTATAAGTTGGTTGATGTTTACTGAAAAGGTGCATAAACGTGGAGCTGTGGGAAGGTCAATTGACATAGCCCGGTATTCAGGTTATGCCGAGCTTAAGCAAGACCTGGCTCGTAGGTTTGGTATAGAGGGACAGTTGGAAGATCAACAAAGGATAGGCTGGAAACTTGTCTACGTGGATCTTGATGATGATGTCCTGCTAGTAGGGGATGACCCTTGGGAGTAAGCCCTTTAACTCTTCTAATTTCTATTTTATTTTCTATGTTATGTCATTGTATTTTCTTTAGTATGCTTTATGCTCTTGGTGGCGATATTATAGCTAGCCAAGTATGAAAATGTTCTCATGGTACTTCCCATAGAGAACATGTTGGGTGGATTACCCTACATGCAAAACCTTCTATGCCATCAGCTCAAAACATGTTTCTTGAAGCTTTTCCTCTCATATGATGCTCTTCTTGTTTCCGTTGTCCAATTACTGTTACAAGCTAACTTAAGATTTCAAGTATTTCTGAGTTTCAATTCATCCAGTCTCCTTTCTGTCTCATAGCTTTGACTGTCTTGTCTGCAGAAATGATTGTCCATCTTGGGAGGTTTCATTTAATCTCCTCTAATGAAAATATAATCTCTGATGCTCTCAGGAATTACTTTAGGACTAACTTTTCATGCAGCTAAGTAGAGGAAATGTCCTTTTATTTTCGTTTTCTTTCATGAAAGACTTTACTATAAGAAACAGAAACAATCAGTGTAGTTCAAGTAAATTTCTGATGAAGTGACATGCTTCTTTTGTCTAAGATAGCATTTGTTTCTCTTTTCTGTGTTGAGGAGGATCTTGAGTTATAGATTAAGCTATCTGCATTGCTGCTGAAATTTTATAATTTCTAGAATCAACTCATTCGAATTATTGACTCTCCTAAACTGCTATGTATATTTTGAATGTGCCACTTGTATTCTGAAATAGCTTCAAGCTGCAAATAGTATTTCTAATTTGTCCTTCTCAAATTCTTTTTTTTTAGGTGTCCAGAGAGTTCGTGGACTGTGTCCGCTGCATCAAGATCCTGTCTCCTCAAGAAGTTCAACAGATGAGCTTGGTTGGAGATTTTGGGAACTCTGTCCTTCCTAATCAAGCCTGCAGTAGTTCTGATAATGTCAATGCATAAAGTAGCCTACAAAGATGCTAACAATTCTTCTTCCACGCGGAGACCTTATATTATTTGAGGATTCTGTTAATAGTTTTCCTATCACTCAGTCTTGACTATGTTTTTCAGTTGTCTGCCTGCTGAATTTTTCCAGGCACCTGCAATGAGCAGGTAAATTTGCGAAGCTGTTCTAGGCCAGTTAGTGCTCTGTTTTTCCTTTTAGCCTAGCTGTATATTAGAAAAACGAGGTCAGAAGCAGGAAAATAGAGGTTTTAGCACCTGAACCGTCAATCCCTTTCTGGTCCGAAGTTGATCTGTTCAGCACGGTTAAGAATCCAGTTTGGTGCGTGTCCTTTAGGCTACTTGTGTTTCCAGCAGTCGAGGATACTCTCGCTGGAACGTATTGTAGAAAGAAAAATCATATTTTGCATGCCAGATTCTGAGTATAAATGTGTAGATTTCATCAATTTCTCAATCGACTTGCCTCTGATTTTAATAGGTTACAAGGTGCTATGGTGAAAGTCTCCTCTCTCTCATATCGCATTTTATCTAATGTCAAAATGATCTGAATTACACTAGCCATAATCTAAGTAATAACATTGAACATTTCGCACCTGCCATTCTTTATGGCCTTTGCTTATGGAATGGTTATCCTTCAATAAAAACAAATGGAAGACTCAGCAAGATAAAAAAGATGATCAAAATCAGAAAAAAAGTCTTTACACAGGAAAATGTTTCCTAGCATACCAATGCACATGAGAAAAGGATCGCTAACAACATTCACTTAATGACATCATGAAGCATTTTCTTCAGATAATAAGTGCACTAACATCATTTTCTTAAGACAATCGATGCCCAGCATAACGAGGCATTTTCTCAAGAAACCATTGGCTCAGGACTGGATGATGACAATATGTCCACCAAAGAGTTCTGTGGCTCCAGCTCCTCGTGCCATCGGGGGAGCTTGTCCTCAGGGTAGTACTTTCTTGTCACGCCTTCTGAGTTTATCTGTGTAACATAGAGCATTTAATTGCCATAAAATTTGCAGAATAAATATGACAGTATTTATACGAATGCCAGAACGTGAAGTGATCAGGAAGCTGTGCCCCTAAATAACCTATCCCAATCAAGCCCTACTTACGAGTGTCTGAACTAATTTGATGGACAGGCAGTTAGAAAGAGAAAAAATCAGAGAGGGCGCAACTCACAGTGACAGTCCGAACAACACCACCACTTGCACCATCACGAGCAATAGCAAGAGAGACTGCTTTCACCACTAATTGCTGCGAGAAAATCATCAAGCGTATAAATCCACAGGCAATGAATGACATAATAATTACAACAAATACTCTCAACAAGAAATCAATAAAAATGCAGGTCTTGGCACAGCGAAGGTAGCCAAAAAACAAAAAAAGAAGTTTTGGGAGAGAAAAGCCACCTAAATAGGTTTTCCATGAGGCTTCGGAAGAATCACTCTGAGATGAGAACATGTTTCTATTATCCAAAAATCTAGGATAGGAAGCAAATACCATGGTCTATCCACCAAGGGGCTATATTAATCTCAGGGAAAAAGGAAAGTTCAAGAATCCACAACAAAACCAGAGAATACATGCTTTAGGGAAATGACCAAAAAGAAATGGGTTTCTATGAGTCAAGACAGCAGTTCCAGACTTCTGTTTACATATTTACAAACATACAGGTTAAACTACATACCTCAGCTTCTTCTTGGGTCATCCCTTCCTTCCATGCTTGATCAAAGAAACCATACAGGTAAGTGGATCCTGAACCTGTATGCCACGAGCAGATAAAAAAAATTAATCAGCGGATGCAATTAATAGCCCATCCCACTTACAATGATGACAGATCAGTCAAATTTTACAAAATTAAAATAAGTCCATCTCCTGCAGACATTGGTAGTTTATTCCCCTACAATATACCAGATAATGGTGATTTATTCAATCTTAACTAGTCAATATGAGTTATCAGCAGCAACCACCTTCTGATGAAAAAAAAAGAAGAATAACCTATCATCATCATTCATCCCCAAAACAAACCAGATTCAGTGTGTAAAAATTGAATATCATAAAAAAGCCACAAAATTACATCTCTTAAGTAACTTTCAAAAGTCTAAAGGGTTATGACAATGGCACGTACAAATTATTACTTCAAGCAAATGAAGTTATAAGGGATTGACAAGTTTCTCAGGGCAGTTCACACTTCCGCCAAAACTTGCAAAGAAGGCAGGTAAAAGTGAGGTGATGCTATTAGCAACTGATAAGATGGGTGCAAAAGAGAAATCCACCAAAGACCCATGCTACTGCCTTTAGTAATTATACAAGTAGCGAAAATAATAGTAACATTCTATTAATGTTGTTGCCTATGAGTTAAGATAAGCAAACAACTAGCATTTCAACGAGGATCGCAAAAACAAAAAATATGGATTATAGTTAGTAGACAAAAGGTCAACAAGTTCACTTCACACACCTCCAATAGTAAACGGCAGCTCCAAGAGTGTTCCTCCAAGAGGCACTCCATAAATTTTACCTCCTTCATACTTATCCCAACCCCCGATAATCATTCCAGTTTGCAACATATTCTGCCAAAATATCCAAAACAAAAATGTATCAAAACAAACCAGAACCATTCCACAATTACGACACCCAACATCATCTTTACATACAAATTCACTAAAGAGCAAGTATTGAAATCAAACCAACCTTGTTACTGTAAGACAACAGCCTAACAAGGTTAGCAGCAACCTTAACTGTCGCCGGTTGCCCCAATTGTATCCTACACACAAAACCCATAAGATTCCAAATCAATCTCCAGCTAATCATCCAAAAAATCTAAACTTTACAGACAGAAAAGGAAAACATTATTCATTAACGCAACAAAGAGAAACCCCTTACGTGTGCTGATGAAGAAAATATCTCACATAATCAGACACAGTTTGAGAATCCGCTGCCTATCAAAACAAAATCAGCTCAAAATAAAAATTAACAAAAAATAAGAAATTTAATTAACAGAAAGAGAGAAAACCACATACAGATCCAGAACGGCATAAGTAGACATTATCAGTTAGCTGAGTGATTTTATCAGATGCTCGATTTGCAACATAAATTCCTACAAAAACCCAAGATAAAAACAGTAAAACTATCAACAGCTGTTTTTTTTTGGGTTTTTAAGGGAAATGAGAAAGTTTTGAATTTTACCTGTGCTGGTGCGAGAATCGGCACCGAGGACGACACCACCGTTATAAGTGACGCCGATGATGGTGGTACCCATGGAATGAGGGCCATTGATCTCATTTTCCTCGTGTGATTCCATTGTTTTCAGATAATTCAAAGAATAAGAAGAAAACTCGAAAGGAAATCGAAGCAAGTTGAGGATTTGTTTTCAAAGAGAGCGAAGTACTTGTGACTTGCTTGTGAAGTCAGAGAAGAAGTGAAGTATTAATGGGCTCATGGGTCGGGTTCGGGTGCTTGGGCTTTTATGGATTTTTTCCGGGATTGAATTTAATTAAATAAAAAGAAGAAAGTAAAAATATGATTAATTATTTTAAGAAACTTTTAAATTTGCAGGGGGGAATTCACAGTGCAACATTTTGCACCGTTGAACATCAAACAAAATACTATGAACTTATTATTTATAGTAATTTTTTTGTATTTTGTTCTTCTAAAATTAAATTATAGGTTAATTTATTAAAAAAATACAGGATTAAAAGGTAGGGGATAAAAAAAAATAAAGAAAATGACTGGCGAACATAGAGAAAAATATTTATTACAGTACTCATTCTTTCTAAATTATGAATATTGTATTTCTTCGGTTTCAAAAATTTCAAAATAAAATCAATTCTAGTTTAAAATTTTATTTTTTTTATTTTTAAATTGTATTTTAAAAAATAGGTTAAAAATAAAAAAGAGAGTCACTTCAATGATAGAAAGAGAAAATCAATGTTGATATTAATTTTGTAACAAAAATAGTTAATCCTGATGTTAACAAGGTCCATTTAGTGAAGAAAGTTTCATTTAGATTTTTTTCATCTTTAAATTGTGTGAAAACTATGTTTAGACTTGGAAAGAATTTTTATTTCAAGTATTTTATATAAATTTTTAAGGTTGTTGGTGTTTTATCAAAGTGTGTAAAATGTTTCCAAATTAAAAAATCATCATCCTTGATTTCTTAGCCATTATCTAGAAAAAAATAACAAGATGTGAGTTGCTTTAATCGATGATGACGGGTGGTCTAACTTTATTTAAAAAAAAAAAATTAATGTGGATGAGCAGTTAAGAAAATAAAAGTCTCACGTACATGCTATTTCTAAATAGGTTAGGCATGGTGGACTTGCTTGTCAAGCATAGTAGTGTCTGGGTTTTTTTATTTTTTTAATATTTTTTTAATATGTATTTTTTTATTTATACTTAAATCAATACTTCTTTTCTTTGATTATTTATTTTATTTATTTAGTTTTTTTATTTAGTAGTTGTTATTTAAGTTATTTTGTATGTATTTAGTTTTTGAAGAGATTATTATAATTCATCTATCTATAATTTTTTTTTATGTTTTATATAAATGGACATTATTTTAAAAATTAAAAAATATTTTTTAGATAATATTTCTAATATGTGCAATCTTATATAATATTTTTTCCCTTTAATTTTATTCAACCAATTTTATATGTGTATCTATATTAAAATCATCTCATCAAAAAATTGATTTTGATAAATCTAGTCATGAAACACAATCAAGTAAATGGCCTGAGGTTAAATGTCTTTCTCTTTTTTTTTTTTTTAAATTCATCTTTAATTAATAACTTATTTATTAACACAAATGGTTATTGATTTACTTAACTAGAAGCATGCATAAGCTTTTAAATTTACACTTAGGATTTTTTATGTTAAAAAATGTTGGAAAAGCTTGTATATTTATTTTTTTGTTGAAAAAAATATCTTACAAAAAACAAAATGTGAGTCAGATAGCTAATAATACTTTATGTGTAAGATTTAATGTGCTTTGTTTTTAAAAAAGACAAGTGATGCGAACCTTATAATTATATGGTTACGCAACTCATAGCAAGATTGACAACGAATCCAAGAAAGTGAAAACAGGTTTGATAAGAGTGTGCTATAATAAAAACTTGTATTTGACATGATCAAAAAGTTGATGTCTTATTCCAAGTGCAGGAGTGTCAAAGTAAAATAACTCGGCAAGACCGGGGTCGAACCACAAGGAGGTGAATTATATAAATTACAAATAAAGAAAAAGATTTGAACAGAATAATAACAAAAAAAGAGTTGAAGAAAGTTTTGGGGTGTGATATTAATGTAAGAATTAAACAATAATAAAACATATGTCAAGGTTATAGGATTTACTAATGGTATTTCAAATAAATATAATGTAAACTCTTTTTATTACTCAACTGGAAACCACACATAAAGGAGGTTCCAATCGGATGATTTCTCGTTATTAGCTCATTATAAATTACTAACATGATCATATTAAT